GTACTAACATCCCTCAAACTTGCTCGAGTTTGTCAGAAGCTTGTCAATCCGCACAACTTTAAGGAGCTACTGGAGTCTTTTCCAAAGTGTTGACAGAGCAATGTCACTGGAGAAGGGTGTTTGAAGCCTAAGCTGTCAAACTCCAGCAGTGTCCCACGATTAATTCCCTTCCTGCTGAAAAAAGGGCTCCAACTGTACCTCAGTGTTCCAGCAGCTCTCCTGGTGAACCAGACCCCAGAGGATGCCCATGAAAAAATATCTCTTTCCCCCTTCCAGATGAAGAGCCCTGCTGGAGTTGTTCAGATGCCACAGCTGACACTGTCTTGCTGAGTCTCCAAAACAGTCATTCTCTAACTGTGCACAAAGCTGGTTCAAGGGAGAGTGAAGCTTATTGAACACCTCAAGGAAAAAATTGGCATTTCAGGGGGTTTAACAGGGTTTTGAAAGGACTCGTTGGAGTTACACTTATCAGTAAACTCTGTGCTATGCAGTTGGGGCTTACCTTTGTGAGCTGTGTCAGCATGTTTGCCTCCATGTCAGCTTGATCTTTTTATTTCCCCATCTCTTCAGGCACAATAGGTTTATAATAATGCCTGGAAGAGGCAGAAGGAAGGAGAAGATTCTGGTCATCTGGAACCCTTGTGATTCTCATCAGTAAAGCTATAAATGAGCCAGCCTGGCAATCTGATGCAGCTTTTCTGAAGAGGCACTAATAACTTTAATCATTTTAGTGGGATTTTGAGGTATTGCAGCTGACTGAAAGTGTATTTTCTTTTTCACTGTGCAAACACTAAATTTCATGCAGTAAACTAGAGGAAGATTAATTTGTTTCCACTAATGTCAGAACAAATTCAGAATTTATTCTGAGTATGAAATTGTGAAATGAGGCAGCTGTCAGCATAATTTACCCCTACCATTGCTGTGCCAGCAACTCATTGTAGTTTGGCATTTGCAGCTCTTTAGCCATTTGTATACTAGAGTGAATTCTGCCTGCCTGTGTAAGGCCAAGGCATGACTACTGTCCATTTGACCAGGAATAGAATTATGTTCTTGCCTTCGGAATCAAACAAAATGATTCCTAGAGAGCTGCTATTTCTCCTGCTGCATCTCATATCCCTGCAGCATAAGCACCGGCTGTGTCCTCTACGTTAAGCCTCTGCCTTGCTGTGTCCCTTCAAGAAAATTGTCTCCCTTCCCACCTCAAAATTTTCTAAATCCTGTGCTCCAGACTGCAGATCCTCACCTGCAGTGAACAGTGTTATGGTGCTGGCAGCCAGAGTTTGGTACCCAGGTCCTGATCCTGCAGAAGTGACGGGTAAGAAAAGGACAGAATCAGCCCTTTCGGGAGAGAGGTGTAGTGAAGGGAGACAGAAAAGAAAGAGGTAGTAGTGTTACTCTGTTTTGGCTCTAGCATCAGTCATGGAGTACAAGACTCACTTGATTCAGATCTGCTCTTGAGTCTGGTCAATGGGAGAGGGGATTTGAGTCCCATTATTTGGTCTACGACAGCAAGGGAACCTGTGAACTCATGGTTAGGGAATGGATTCAGGTACAATCGGAGAGAGAAATGGTGCTGAGTTGTGTGTTTGTCACAAGAGTCTCAAACGGTATATGGGAATATCTTCAGTACTGATATTCAAGTTAAGGAGAAGGCATGCTGGAGCCTGATAGATTTTTGGTGCTTGGAATAATCAGAAAAAATTGACAAGATTATGACTTCTCCAAAACATCAGCTAAAGTAGTCTGTTCATGATTTTAAACCTGGTCCCTAACATCTATAGAAGAACTAAGAGAAACAGCATAACTAGAGAGGAAAGAATGAGCAGAATGTTTTCCCTGAGGTGTCTTTAGATCTGAAATACATTCTGATCCTTACTCTGCTAGAGCTCAAATCTGGTCATACCTGAGTGTGCAGAAAGTTCCTATAGCACCCAGTATCCAGTTCTCCACAGCACAGCAATGACTGCAGGCTGTACACTGGAGTGTACCAGCTTGAGACAACATTTAGGTGTCAAATGGGCACTAAGAAGTATTGAAAGAAAGTGCATTCCCAGGAGGCATTGATGAGCTGAGCTTTGAGGAGTTCTCCAAAACACTAGTGCTGTGGTCTGATCATGATCACCATACTGAGCCCCATTAAGGGGCTGTCTGAGCTTTATGTGAAAATGGTAAGATCCTAGCAGGAGTGAGAGATAAGATTTGATCCATTGAGTTTTCCACAGTGTCTTTGTCCTTTCTCCTTCTATACCTCTTAGCATTTAGTTTTTTCTTCATATTTGTTTTGTGGGTTTTTTCCTAGGCCAGTTTTTCAGCTTTCTGTCTGTGGTTTTCATTTGTTTAGAACTTTGCCAAGTTCTTGCTGGATGACTTGTTGCTCAGTTTTGCACTGAAGTGCTTTATGTGACTAGAAAGGACTCAAATTGATTCATACACCATTTCCTTAATAATTGACCCTTATGCAAACTAGGAAAAAAATTAACATTTCCTAGTACTGATTGACCTAGGAATTCCTAAGGAAACATTAACGTTCCCTATATATGATGTATGGTAACTTATGAATTCCAACGTGAGAAATGTGGTTGTGCACTTCCAGATGAGAATTAGTATGTTCCTTTCCTTTAAAGAGAGAGAATGCATACTGTTGGCTGGTAGAAATTAGTGCAGCTGCATTGTCTTCAGGGAAGGGAAACCTCATGAAGATCTGTCTGTTAAAACTTAGTTTATTGCATTAATTAGTCTCACATTGACAAAGGTACCAAACGTTTTTTCTGTCTAGTAACAGAAAAGATATGACTATAAAATATGATAAAGGACTGCTATGGCCTTGTTCCCATTCTGGTATTAAAAGTGGTTTTATTTGGCATCGAAATAAAATGCTATTGGCCAAGCAGTTTAGTAAGGATCTGCTGTTAGAGTTCAGAGAGGACAGTCATGGAATGAACTGCACTAAAACACACTTCTGATGAGCTCTGCTGTTGTGACCTTGTTGATTGAATATTTTTTCCAGACAAAAGTTTGTTTATATAACGTGTGTAGTGCACTGGGAAGGCACTTTTGTAACAGAGACAGAAAAAGCAAAAATATGCACTTTTAATTTAAGGGAAAATACTAAAGATCATTAAACTCTCTTTGTGGAGGGTAGAAATAGGTAAGAACTTAAAAGACTCATTTCAGCCACCTGCTGTGAAAGCCAAGGAAGTTTATTATACCATGTAGTTACACAAGCTAATTGAAAATAGATTAATTCTGAAAAGCTATCACTATTTAGATGAGCAAACTGGAATCATCACCTGCTTATTTGGAGTTCAAGTTTAATGCTTATGCCTGGAGAATATTGAGTGCCAACTGGAACAAGTATGTCCTTTCATTTTAAGATTTGCTCTACCATAAAAAACCCTGCTGTTTTATTTCCTCTGGTGTGTACGTCACACTAAATTGATCTGGCAGGCCAAAACAATATTTTTGGTCTTGTTTCTATGTATGAAACAAAAATGTTTTACACTGCAATTTTATTGTCTTGCATTCTTTGCCATCAGCCAAAACCTGCTTCTGTCCCTCTTGCTGGCTGTTGAGAGGCAGTGTAAAGGTCTCCTTCTCTAGAGGTGACATGGTAGGCTGGGGTGGGACTCTGCAGAGCTGCAAAGCTCCCGTATGAGCTTGGTTAATTTATGTGAAGATTTCAAGGAAGCATGCCATGGCACTTGAACACATTCTAGCTGGTAGATTTTTGGTTGTCAGCTGTGTGTTTGCCCTGTGTTCCCCACGCTGCCTGCTCACCAATCTTTCCCTGTTTTAGTTAAGGACTTGTCAGTCCTTCTCTACTCTTTAAGGCTTCTGTCTTTCTTTACTGCCCACTGAACTCTATAGGATCTTGCCTTTCTTGCAAAGGATGTTCTAGAAAAATTTTTGGAGTTTGAATTTTCCATAATGTCTTTCTTCAGTAGAAGCTGGTTCATATGTAACTCAGTGTCTTCAATGCATACAAAAGCTTATGTTTAAGGATGATTTTACTAAAAGGATTGAGAACTCCACTCTTCCCTTGAGTGCATGCCTAGATGTACTCCTGGTATTTGACCTACTTTTTGCAATTTCTCCCCTCTAGAAGCTACTTGCATTTACTCACTTATACAAACATAAACATTAGTATTGGTGGTGTTTATTAAATGTGAACTTAACTTTAAGAGGGGAACTAGTGAGTGGAAAGTGGAATGGCTCACCAGAGCACTGCCCACTGGAGAACATTCTGCAGTGGTGTTGTCTTACTGAAAAATGTCTCTGGGTTCATGATGTTCATTTACCAGAACTACTGTCTGCTCTCAGCAGACCCACCTGATCAGTTTGTACTTTGACAGCTTAAAAGCACTGTCAGGGATTGTGCACCAGAGGTTTGTGAAAGGAGAAGCACACAATTCCTTTAGGAAAGCCAGGTAAAAGTTGAACCACTCTTTCCCAGTCCTGGAGAGAAAAGGGGTCAAGGAAGCTGACCTCTAATATGAAGGTACTCTAATGCTTGTTTACATCACAAACCATTTTCTTGTTTGCCCTGACATGTTTTGCAAAAATATCTCTATTTAAGGAAGAGAAGGACCGCTTTCCACACATCTTTAATTGTGTTTTATTCTTATTATTGTGCTGCATTAACTTGGATAGCAGCAATGGTGTATGTGGCTTAATTAGGAAACGGACTGCTTGGTCATTTGAGGGTTTCTGTGCTGAGACAGTGCTGAAGAGGTAAATCAAAGTGACTTCCACATCTGTGCAGACATGTGAGCAAGCCAGTAAGATGTTTGTGTAAATCAGCATACACTGATCATCACTAATCTTTTTGTAGTCAGCTTACCTAGATGTTTCTTCAGTTTCAATTTTTTAAGTCTTATCCATTTCAAAACTGCCCATAATTAAGGTCTGAAGTGTATGTGTAGTTACAGCTTTTAATTTTGAATGGAGTCCTAGCATGGATTAAATTATGGTTTTTTTCTTTCTTTTTTTTCCTTTTTTAGCATCGTAGACAAAGAAGTGTCATTAATGGCAGAAATTGATAAAGTTAAAGAAGAAGCCAGTAAGTAAAAAAAATACACAGGGAACTTTTGGAATAGCCATGGGAACAGTTGTTTTGTTTGGCAGAAAATTACACAGTACATAAATTTGGTTAGCAGCATTCCCTCGTCTTTCATTGTGTGTATATACAGTCAAATAAGGCTTTGGTGTTCCAGGGTAGTTCCTGTCTATAGGGATTATGCATCAAAGTTTCAATATTATGAAATTAAGGTGAACTAAAAGTTCATATGAAGTAAGATTTAAATTATTTATTCCTTCTGCTTACCTACCAGAGCTTTTTGACCACTCCTTTTTTTTTTCATTTCTATGGTTTGTTGATTACTTCATTTTCAATTTTCAATCACTGTTTGCTTGCTTATATTACATATATGAATTAGAATACTGGAAGTTACATGGGGCATATGTTATTGTGTGCCTTGCATAGCTTTAAAGGATAGTAATCAAGCTTGTGAATTAGAACAATTTAAAAAATAAAAAAGATATGTTTACTGCAATCTGTTTTCTTAATAATCTGTAGGAGTTGATCTGATTCCACGCCTTCATGTTGTCTCTGTTTTTTGCATAGATTTTCATGTATATACATTCTGATTTGGAAAAAAAAAAAGGCAAGATGAGCCATGTATACCACATGATACCACAATATCTGTTTATATTCCATCTGGTACATGGTATTTGTATGTACCCCCAGTAATCAAGAGTTTCAATAAGGATTGCTAAACAAGAAACTGAAGAGTAACCAAAGCATTGTTAGAATGATACTTTGTCTGGCAGATGAAAATATCACTGCTATGTATGCATACAATCCTTTTATTGATTTGTGAATTTAAAGACCTTCCAAGGAGGGCTACAAATACAGGTAACATTCTTGAATGCTTCGTTTGCATTTGGAACTCTCACTTAGTTTACAAATGTATACTAGTTAAATTTTTATTTTAAAAAAATGCTCTAAATCCTCTCTGATGCTACCTAAGTTTCTTGCAGCTGTGTATCTGTGGAAATTAAAAGGTAAGAGTTGTTACAGCAAAGATTAGCATTAGTTTCTGTCTTGAATTTCATATGCTAATTTTTCTAGGAATAACATGAGATAGATGTGGATTTGAACTTCATTGTTATTCTGGGGAGGAATTGTGGATGGATACATATCAGCAACTTTTTGGTTGCCTGCAGAGACCAGATAGCCATAATCAGCTACAGGGCATGCACTCACTCCCAGGAAAACCAATGGGAGAATTCCTATCGATCAGCAGACGAGGATCTAACCCCTAAATGCATAAACAAAACCACATTTTGGAAATCCACTGTCCAGGGCTGATGGTATTATAGGGCCCTTTCATTAATCTTGGCCCGGTTTAATAGTAATTTTTGTAGAAAGTAAACCTAATTCTTATCTACAGACATGCAAAGTGCTGCATTTGCACATGACATGTTCTGTTTCCTTGTTTTCATGCCAGCTCCCTGCATAAGAGTGGATGGCCTCTGTACCTGTTTCTAACAGTGTGGTTTCTGCTGTCTCTCAAGGTTGTTGTAGGCTGTAAAGTGCCTTCAAAAACTTAGGCAGAAAGTTGTTGTAGGACTGTAACATGCGAACCAAGAGATAAATAATATTATTTATTTTCATATCTCTTTGCTGCACTGGAGGACTGTTTTACAGTGGGTAATCTTACTGTCAACGCTAGGAAAAATTCCAAATATGATCATTTCAGTTTAAAAAAAAAAAATGGGTATTTGGCTGGCACCTCATGTGGAGATGAGTACTACTATCAGATGAGATCATGTTTTGGGCAGACACTTCAGCAAAGAGGATGCTGATCTTGGGGAGGAACAATATTAGTATTACCTAGAATAAGCAATAAATCAGAACTCTTGGACAAAGGAAACCAGCTAGTAAACTGGTTCATTTAATCTGATAAAAGTTTCTTATTCTTGTAGACCGTATTCCACAAAAACAAAATTAAAAGATCATCTAGAGAGATAGATACACACCTGCTCTTAGCATAAGTAATAATGTAGGCACAGATTTGCCAACAGGGCTAAAGGAACTGTAGCTACCCGCTGCCTTCCCTATCCTGTGTGACACACACTCCCCCATCGTATGGTTTGTTTGCTCCCAGATAGCTGCAGAGGTGCAGCTGAGTCTCCCTGTGCCTGCTGGACCATGTTGTACTCAGTGAAACACTGGAACAGGTTTCCCAGAGGGGTGGGAGATGCCTCATCCCTGGAAACATTCAAGGTCAGGCTCTCAGCAACCCAGCCTGTTCAAGATGACCATGTTCATTGCAGGGGGGTTGGACTAGAGACCTATAAAGGTCCCTTCCAACCCAAACTATTTAAGATTCTATGGTACTTTAAAAAGAAGGTGCCATCTGATTAAATAAATGATAATGGGTTGAGAAACAAGCTGTCTGTGAAATATCATTAATTCCAACCTTAAAAATGGCATTACAAAGTGTAAGCTGGTTACATGACTTGCCAAGTCTGCTGTAGAAATCTGTGGGAAAAGAAGGCAAAGCAGCCAAAATCTCCACAGCTGTAATGGAGTCTGTGGCCTTAGAATAGTTTACAACTACTGCTCACCCTGACTGTATGTGTAAGGTCTAGGCAAAGGACTATGATTGTTTTTATTTTATGTTTAAGTGCTGTATTTCCTCTCTGCCATAAGTACTGATCCCAACAGCCAGTTAATCAGTTGTTGCTTTTACACTGAGTCACCATGTAGGTAATAGTATTTGCGTATATTTCATTTTCCACCAAAATTGTAATGTGGTATTATCTTATTATCTTGTATGTTACTAGATCATTGCTCTGTGGTTCATGGTTAATCTTTCCCTATAAGAATATAACTGTTCACCTCTTCCTTATATAAAATATACAAGACAGGCAGTAAAGAATATTTAGTACTTTTTCATAAAGACTGTTGACCTTCAATACTGCTTTACAGTTGAAATGGCAACTGTGTATATTCTGCGTGTGAAAGCAAAATTGTGATGCCAATGATTTTAATGTAAACTGTATACAAAGGAAGTGAAATAGCCCTGTGTGGATAAAATATGGCGTGTCTTCAGAAACAGGCTGGTGACTTAATGTAATGCTTCTTTCCATGTCTCCGTGGAAGACTCCCTGATTTTGTGATTAAAACTAAAGCACTGGAAAACTCAAAGCAATATGCCTTTACCCCTGTTTGTCTAAATGTTGAAGGATTGATTTAACTTTGGTTTTCCGACAACTATCCCGTTTCCAGGTCTTTTTCAACATCAGGCAATTCAGTTAAATATGCTGATTGACTTAATCTGTGCAAGCTGCATATTGGAAGTCCAGTTGAAGTCAGGGGTCCATGTATTTGTCTCACATGTGATGTACAGTGTTAATGCCTAAAGACTGATAAATTCCAGAGCAGTTTACCTTCCTAGCTTTAATGACTGACTATTGGTATTTGGCAGTGGAAATCCTGACTGCTCGGCAGAAGAAAGCTGAGGAGCTGAAGAGACTGACGGACCTCGCCAGTCAGATGGCTGAAGCACAACTGTCTGAACTCAGGGCTGAAATTAAGGTCAGGCATTTACTTCTGCTTGGGTATTTTAGCTGTTTGCAGAACAGCCAAGAAAGAGCTGTCACGTTAACATGCCCAGGCTGTTCAGTCCTGCTATAGGCCAATGAGTAACTAGCTTTCCATATGGAAAGCATAGCTTCTTAAAGCATTATAGCACCTCTGGGCAGTGTACGGATGATGTACAGAGAAGTCAGCTACACTGATGTAAGCTGTCTCATCAGTGTAGCAGTGGGGAGTTTTGCTGTTTGTATATCATTTGTAAGACTCAGTTACTAACAAGTAAACCTGATAGCTTCAGATTCAGTGACCAAACACATATTCTCTGAGGAAATGACCCACTTCCCAAGTGTGGGAGTGATCAGCTCCCACTGGGCTGTGAGACATGTAATTTGGTAAGGACGGGAAAATATTTGGTTCTGCATAAAAATCCCGTGTACAGGGCAGGGTCAAGAGTTTGTTGAGCCTTACAGTGAACTTAAGATCAGTTGTTTCCTTTACCATCCCTATAGTCTTTTGCTCATAATGTAAATCACTGTTAACATGTCTTATTTTGCAGCACTTTGTGAGTGAACGGAAATACGACGAAGAGCTGGGCAGGTCTGCCCGATTTTCCTGTGATACAGAACAGCTGAAGACCCAAATTCAGCTCTGTGGAGAAAGTAAGTGCTGGTGATTTCTCACATGGAATTTCTCAGAACACAGTGTTCCACTCAGCAGAACTAAAGGCACCTGTGCTGCCTGGAAGGGGGGTGCAGGAAGCCCACTGTGAGTGGTGTCTTTGGATACAGGAGGCTCACTGAACACACACAGGTCACCTTTACAGTGTGCAACATGTTCGACTCACTGTGCCTGTGCTGCACACTCCATCTGCAGGTGTGCACTGCCCACTTTGTCAGAGATCTACAGGTATTACTCAGATCAGTTGGAGCTTTCAATCTAAACAGGATTTCCAAGTAGAAATAAAAGTCAGCTCTGGGGAATATGCAAATTCAGTAATTTATAAGTAAATAGTCAATAGGAAGCTTCTCTGTGTGAACATAGTGTTGTGAGGCCAATTCAGATCTCTCCTGCTAGGAAGTAACTCCCCAGCTTTATAACAGTGTTCACTGGGTTATTCACTGAGTTTTTCAGGAGATAAATGGAGTCTCAAATCATAGCATAATTAAGGTTGGAAAAGACCTCTAAGATCACAAAGTTCCCCAGTAAACCACCATGTTCACCACTAAACTATGTCATCAGTTGCCATATCCACATGTTTTTTGAACACTTCCAATGCTTAACAACCCTCTCCATGACAAAATCTTTCCTAATATCTGATCTAAACCTCCTCTGGTGAAACTGGAGACTATTTCCTCTCATCCTGTCCCTTGTAACCTGGGAGAAGAGACTGATCCCACCTTGCTACAATTTCCTTTTAGGTAGTTGTAGAGGGCAATAAAGTCTCCCTTCAGCCTCCTTTTCTCCAGGCTCCTCTTTTCAAATCATCTACCCTTCTGCTTGGAAATTTAGGTTCACTTTTTTGCTTCTAGTATCATGTCCCTTTTGCAAAATAAGAGATTGCCTATTTCTCATCTTTGTCGTGCTTTTTTCCCTCCACCTAAAGAAGTAAATGCTGTAATGCTTTGTCCAAAATGTTACCTTGTCCCATTGTATCCCATCAGTACCATTATCCAGGAGAAAACTGCTAAAACAGTACTGAACTAGTGCATCTTAGTGGAAGGAAAATGATAAATGCTTTCAAGTAGTTACTCAAAACAGAAAAAGGAGAAAATACTACATAGTCTGCCAATACGATCTTGTGACTGCACAGTTAAAGAACTGACTGCTTGGAGGCATAACCAGTTTAACTCAGTAGACCATAAGAATTGCTTTTGCAGAACACTTTGAAAATACATCTAACCCTATATCCTCTCTGTCACTGAAGCCAACTCAGGATGTTTCAAAAGAAGGCATTAACTTCCCAGTAATGCATCTAATTGTTTACAGTCACCTCGTGGACCCTGTCTCATACCCTGAAGCATAAGAGATTGAGAATTCTATAGAGATTATCCTGACTAATAATACCACAGCTGCTATTGATACAACCATAGACGGGTTTTTTTAAACTCATTGAACTACTTTCCTAAATAACTTCGAGCTGCAGTTAATTCAGCAAGTTAATTATTTATACCTCATTTCAGTAAAGCATTACATAAACGTAGTTTGATGCAGGCCTGTTCAAATTGGGTCAGTGAAGTCAAAAGAGTAGGGGAGCAGTGTCATCCTAGAAATGACTGATAGTGCACTGACTGTCTGAAGAACTTCGTTCTTACCTGCCCTCAGTGACTTTAGATGAGCAACTCATGATGTTGGATGTCTTTGACAAGAGCTTTTCAGTGCAGAAGATGTTTCTGTTAGGAGTATCTCACAGTGAGGCCCATACCCTGCTAGGAGCTGCAAATACCACTCAGAGGTTATAGGAGGCCTATAGCTAAGAACAGCCACTGTTGAGGGCTTTAACAAAAGCAATAACCAAACCCACAGAGCTTGTGCAAAGCAAGGCATGTTCTAGCATGAGGAGAGGGTAGACAGCATACACTCACAATGAAGGCCGGGAAGAAACAAAAATAATTGGACTAACATATAGCCAGAATGCCCAGTGGCAAGTTGTATCCTTTCCTTGTACATCTTTTTTGTTAAAAATAGATTTTTGTGAAAAGCACCTGAGTCTTTATATGGGTTTCCATGTGCAGCAGTCTAGAGAGCAGTAGAATTCAGTGACAGCTGGCCTCAGTGAGCTTCGGAGAGAAAATTCAGTCCATTGTGCAGATCATTGCATTGTTCTGCTGAAGAGGGCACCTAGTAGAAGAAGTAGCTGATGTTGTTACAAGTAAGATCCTCGAATAATCTAACAGATGATGCTCAGTTACTAAAATTTTTCCTTACCTTCTTTCTCTGTACTAAAAGTGAAAAAATAGAAGTACCTCTTGGATAAAACAGCAGCCGTCTCTCTGAAGTGAACCTCAGTTTTGTCATCTGTACCAGAAGGAAACAGAAAAATTCCGTAATCAGAAAAATTAAGATCAAGAACTTTGTTAGCCTCAGCATCTCTTTGAGACTGCTTGGGGGCTATTTCACAGAAACAGCTTTAAGAGCCTGTGGAAATGCAGAGAAGAATAAGGATTTTTTTGGTGCATTTCACATCCAGACATGACAGTGCTTAGTAAATCAGGCGATGTCAAAATATTAAGAAGTAGGGAGTAGGAATATACTGAGATGAGCAGTAGTGGTTCCTGATGGTGCAGACTGCCATGGTCTACATGAAGTTGATTACTGCATTGCATTCAGTTCCAGTTTTTATAGATATTCATGGTACAGAAGAACCTTTTTTACCCATCTCCATAGAGAGGGATAAGCAACAGGCACTAGACTATTTTTTTCTTCATCTTAAAAACGTTTAGACATTCTAGGGCAGCTTTCATGGCTGTTGCCTGTGTTGTAGGTAGTACATATGTAGACAGCAATGAGAGCCATGGTTCCATGATCAGAGAATAATTTGGAATAGAATTTAATCTGTGATGTCTGCAGACACAAATTCCTTTGACCTCAAGCAGTCAAGAGAGTTACTGGCATATCACTTCCCACATTTCTTCCTTTGTTGCATGAAGACTCTTGTTACAGGGGCATTATTGATAGGACAAGCAGTGCATGGAGTGGTCCTGGCAGCACATGTTCAGCTCAACTGATTAAAAGTTGACAAGCAAACCAATAGGTGCCAGGAATTTTGAAAAATTCTCTTGGATGACAAAAGCTTGGCCTTCTGCCAGGCTCCTTCCAGTTTTAGTGCAGTGCCATCACATTGGCTCTTCTGTCTCCAGAAGTGCTTCACAATGAGGCCATTTTACAGAAGTAAAACACTATGGCCTAACTCCAACCCAAGTTGTCTAGCTTACTTCATTATTTAAAGTGAGGCTGGAACAATGCTTCCAAAATTAAGTGTAAGCAGAATAATAATACATTCCTATGTTTAGATGTTGATCATTTAACTGATAACACATAATCTTTTTCTTTTATAGTTTCTCACCCAAAGAACAACTATTCCTCAAGGACACCATGCAGTTTAGTGCTGTCTTCAATGACCTCTCATGCAACAACTGGCAAGCAAAACACACACACACGAAAGTCCTCTAGTAATGCCAAGAACTCTGATAATAAAACAGCCAGCATTAAAGTACAAAGTCATCTTTCTTCCAATCCTACAGAATCTTCTTCTCAAGGAATTCCAACAAATAAGCAGGTAAGAAACTAGTTATGAACTAAACTAAATTACTTAAGAAATTTCAGGAAAATATGCAGCATTGAAAGTTGTTAATACAAAATCAAGTACTGGTTTGCAGTCTTTATATTTAATTAGTAATTTTGGAAAATACGCAAGCATATATTTTCCAGTTTCATTTTCAAGTCAGCGTGAGCATTCGGAGTGGAAATACCAGAAATGCCATATGAGCAAAGACGGCTGTCAGGTGTTCAGAAGTGACTAGTGGCAGTTAATAGACTGAAAAAGAAAAACCCTCCATAATAGCTAACTACCCTATGTGCTGTGATGGAGAAACATTTAGTCCTGATACTTACCAAATGGTGAGCTGATGTGCTGTTGAAGCACAATTATTAGATACATTTTAAAAGTAGAATCCTGCTGGGTTTAAAAGCATGTTATTTCAGAAGCTCTATGACACAGCTTATAGTATTGTCCTATATTGGAAGCTATTTTGTTATATGAGCACCTTAGAATGTCCTTCTACTGTTGTTCTTAGGTAAAGCTGTCGCTGAAGTTGCTCTGAATTTTGTCCCAGAAGGGATTTTAGGATCAAGTAGACGCCTGAAGGGAAACAAAAGAGCATTACATAGTGTCAGTACATACATGGAATCAGCTGCCCTGGCAGGCATGCAAATAAAGTGTAATTCAGCCACTTCCTAGTAAAGATCAGAGCATCCTCTGAACAAGATATCACAATGGACATCTGTTCCACAATGTGGATGCTTCACTTGACTTTAGTTTACATATTAATTTCTGTTCTTCCTGCAGTCTTACTGTAGTATTTTCACAACACTTTACTAGGAAAGGTATTTTCATGATTTTGGAAAAAATCAGTCACTGTCAAGTTCTTCAGCGCTTCTTAACTGCTCAGAGAATCGTAGAGTACCCCAAGTTGAAAGGCACAAGCCCTGCACAGGACCATCTCCAGGAGTCACATCGTGTGCCTGAGAGCATTGTCCAAAGGCTTCTTGAACTCTGTCAGGCTTGGTGCTGGGACCACTGCCCTGAGGAGCCTGTTCCAATGACCAGCCACACTCTGGGTGAAGAACATTTTCCTAATATCTAACCTAAACCTCAGCTTCATGCTATTCCCTTTGGTCCTGTCACATGTAACAGTGTTGGTCCTTTTGGTTTCCAAGGCACCCTCATATGCAATTTCTGTTGACTACAACCCACAGAATCCTTTCCTCAACAGCTGCTCTTGAGCTGTCTGGTTTTTCTGTATTCTCTTGAATCATGCCAGACTTTAATTTGGCATCAGCTGTGAACCTGCCATCTGTATTTTCAGGCTACTCAGATGTAGCATGGTACTTGTAGTTCAGTTTTTAAGTGTAATAAGGAGAGAACTGTAACAGTCAAAAGTGTGTAGTGTCTTACTTCTCCTAGTTACACTGTTAATTCTAATTACTGTATTTCCTGTCGTGTTGGAAGGATTCAAATAACCTAACAGTTATCCAATTTCTTCCTGGGTAGAATGGGCCTTCTAGCCAGAGACGAAGATTCAACCCACAGCACCAAAACGTGCGGCTCAATGGATCTCTGAAGGCACAAGGTGCCAGTAATGAGGCAGATCAAAATACAAAGAGCGGCGCCAGGTCTGAGCACAGAAGACAGCAGCATAACAGCTTCAGATCTAAAAATAAAGGAGCCATGAAAAATCAAGAGCAGTCTACAACTGCAAGGACCACAGAGAATCCGACACATTCGGAGAAGACCCGTCGGAAGCACCACACACCAGACACTGCAGATCACAGGCCTTTCCAAGGCAGTGTTGGCAGGGTGTCCCAATGCAATTTATGTCCTGCAAGGAGGGAGGTCTCTGCTGATGCCACTGTTCTTTCAGTGCCAACTGTGACTTTGGTGGCTTAAAATGTCACAGTGATGGCAGGCAGAGAAATTTAATATCTTCATTTTAGTTTCTTGCTCGAAATGCTTGTTGGTGAAGAAAATAAGTCAGAACATAGTCTTTTAAATCTGTTGCTGCTTAAAACTTGTTGGTATCTTTACTACTTACTAATTATCAAAATTAAATCATACTTTCAAGGCTTTCCCCAATATCTTCACATTTATTTTATCGTGACAGTACGGAATCTTACCAAAGCAGCATTTACTTCTTAGAAAAATGAAATCTAGATTGGAAAAATAAATTGATAATTAAATTCATAATAGCAAAAGCCTCTTGTAGATATGTGGTTATACCAGTCAACGTTATTTTTTGTAGAACAGCCTGTGTTAGAAGGATCCCAGACAGTCTGTATGCTGTGGTTTGCAATGAAATCAGATGATCTTGGAGAATTTTTCAGCAAATCTCTATACATCTCTTTCTTTCTGTGCGTGTATACACATACATGCATGCACACTGTATACACAGAGTTTTGTTATATACAAGAAGAGTTGAAAAGGCAATTCATTTGATTTTAGCTTATTATTCCATAATCTGAGATCTTTAAGTTCAAGTATAAATTGTATTAAATGTATTACATATTGGTATTTTTCATGGACAAACTATTTTTATGAGGCTGAGGAAATATGCTCATTTAAGTTTGGAATGTATATAATAATGGCTATTCAGATGCACAGCCCTGTTCTCCATCCTTATCAGCCACTTTTCTATGACTAGTTGGATTTATTTTTTTGCATATGAAAAGTTGCAGGTCTTCTAGACTTGAATTCAAATTATTTTTCTATACTTTTGCTGTAGGAACCATCTGTCCATAATGAAAGCTATGACTAATAAATTACTTAGTCTTTATGTTCTGATTCTGTATTTCAGAAAATCTGTTTCTTCCAAAAATTAAAATCTTCTTTCTAAAATATCCCGGTGTTTGCTGCTTTGCAGTGCCTAACCTTATTCAAATTGTATTTGCTTAGTTCAGCTGGTATCAGTGGGAGGCTTTCAGCTGAGTTTGGACTGGACTTTGCTTTTAGTTGGATTCTAATGCCACAGTGCATGAAACAACCTTGTCATGAGAGCTGTCTCCATCCTGAACACACTTTTAACGTAAGTTATTGTTTAACATAGTAAGGTGTCAGGCTCCAGACCTGGCATCAAGTGAACTAGTGACCTGTGTCAGAATCAGAAAGGCGTAGAAGGTCAATAAGATTGACCTCCTGTTGAGGTTTCAGTAAGAGCAGGAGGATACTTAAAGATCTTTAAAAGTTTATGCCTAGGTTATTGTTTACTATTGCTTTTTACCAATTTTCTTCTGCCTAATTTCTGTTTGTCGACTGCACAGTTCCTTAGTACTAACTGGTTTACTATTCCTCTGTGGCCCTTGAAAAGTAATCTCCAAGTGTAGAGTGAGGTGCGTTCCTTAATTTTTATTTCTTTTGATATCTGTATACAGTGTCCCACATATGAATATCGGTAAAACCTGATTTTAAAAGGCAAATAACTCATCTTCATCTGAAAGAGTGGTGAAAGAAAAATAAACATGCATAGATAGACAGTGGCTTTCTTATTATTGCAAGCACTGTTATTATCCTATTTAATTACCTATCACACTTTTAAGCTGAATGTTTTTGCATAGATGGAATGGAAATTCCAGAATCTTTGTTGTGCAGCACCCATCAGATAGGTAGCTTTTCAAAATTTATCTGCTTCCTTACAGATTGACCTGTAACCTCACTCTAAGAGATGTAATTACAAATTCCATGGAGATATTACATGGGAATCTTCTTATATTGTCCTTATGTAAGTTGTGAAATTTATTTGTCTCTTCTCGTAACCCTTCCTAGAAAAAAAGAAAACCTAATTTATCTGTAATGGCATTTATTCCTTTCTAATAGCTTCTGCACTTGACAAGATTACTGAAAGTTATTTTATTCCCTAAATCTCTTAATTCTCACAAGCAACCTTCTACAAATAAATAACATCCATAACATAATTCAGCACAACAGGACCACCTTGTGCTCTTCAGTACCAGCTGAGCTTTGAGGTACTGGTGCCTCAGTATGTGACAGACCCAGGCCTAACAGGTGAAAGATGACGTTTCTCTCGTGATGCAAGAGTATTTTCTTTGTTGAGAGCTGCATGGGTTTGGTTGGGCTGGGAAGTGGGCTGGTTCTGGGGGTGCTGCAGTTTTAGCACACCATGTGTTGTCTGGTATCTGCTGATTTTGGAAGTTTATTGCACTACACATTTTAACTACATTATGTGGCTGTTTTCTGAAGTGTAGCTGTGCCAGAACAGTATCTCGTCATCTTTCATTCTGTGTGTCTCTGTGTGCTTGGAATGATATCTGCCAATTTCTAGGAGTGTTTTACTGTTCACAGTAGTTGTGAGTAACCAAATGCTCTTGGGCCCATCTTCAATGGAGCTCTGGTTTTATTTTCTCATTACAGAGATGGCTATGTGCAGTACTCCTTTTAATGTTGGGAACTTGTACAGGGGTCAGCCAGGGAACTAAGGGCAGGGCAAGGCTTGGCTTCCAGGCCAGTCCTCTTTTATAAAAAGTGCCCTCAATTTGCAAAGCAAATACAGCTGTTTGACATCACTCAAACACAAACACGGAATTCCCACTGCACTTTGTATGCTCTTTCAGAAGTGGAAACAGACCCTAAAGGGCACTATTGTAGAGCAGGTTGGATCTGTTTATCTTCTGTGCGAGATTAAACTCAGAGTAAGGCAGAACCCAGCAAAATAAAGATCCAAATACACAGCTGGAAAACTAAAAAGAGAAGGTAACTTAATACAGTCAAACTGTTTGGAAAACTTAGATTAGTTAGCCATGTTTGGAAAAAAAAATTAAAAAAATTCACTTAGTGTGCTTGAAAATGTCACCCTGAAAGAGAAACTAATCATTCTGGAATGGAAACATTGATCTTTCAATGCTTTCCTGGGCCCTGTTGTCGTAGGGGAACTCCAGGTCTGAACTTGTATGAGTGTGAGTCTCTTATCCTATGAAGTGATTGGGCTGCATCAAGATTTTATCAACCAAATACATCCTTCCTGTTCACATACTTGTGACTAAAGCAGAGGCACTGGGATCCAGAGGCCTCAAGTTCCAGTACCACTGTCAGTAACCCATGTGAGGATACAAGAGAAATTTGCCAGAAATTTGAGACAATACAACTATTAAGACAAACTACTAAAACAAGCTGTGCACAATGTTCATGTGTTTTGTACCAGAGAGAGAAGAAAAAGGCAACTTTGAAAAGGGTCTGAATCCTTGATGCAAACTCTGGGCACACTACACAGCTGATCATGTGATGCCATGAATTTGTGAAGTAATTTTTGACCAAGAGTGATCGAGTCTGCTATAAACAGCCAAATGTTTTTTGGCAAGAAGATAATTATTTAAGAAGATACACCCAAAAAGCTCAGAAAGCAGCAGAGTTCTGTAACATCAGCTTTACCTGTTCCTACTGCTTAACAGCTCTTATTAACAGCTGCTGCCCAAAATGAATCTAGTTTTTTGTGGGGCTTTTATACAAAATTTTACTTCTAACCACATTTTGACTCTATAACTGCAGCTAAGGGACAGACAGCTTCCCTCCCAAGTTTTTGATAGCATAACTTGGCCTCCTGATTTTAATTGTGTGAGAATCTGTCCTTCATGGACTGGAAGGAAGTAAGTAGATCAAATCTTCTTACTCCAGGGTAATGGTAGGATTTCTTTATTAGACACAGGAAGATTTGAACTACATAATGTTTATTATCTAAGCAATTTAATGTAATCCAGTTTAAAAGTGTATGTTTCTGCTCTGAAAGAGCTGGTACGGAAATAACTGGAACATTCTGAAAGAAAAATGAGTTAGCTTTAGTATTTCCATGACTCTTCAGCTAAAAACAAACCTGATGAAAACTCTTCCTGAGGATCAGTGACAACATATGCCTATCACATGAAATAATGCTTTTATCAAGTACAAATGAGTTCTCCATACTCTGAAGCATACAGGTAGAATTACATCTATTTGAATCACATCTTGGTGATAACTGGCCCTCTGCATGTATAATCATGGAGGAGTAATTTTATAGAAATCTAACTTGGAATCATGATTTTCTTGTCCCCTTAACCCATATGATGCCCTATCACTGATGGTTTGGAAAGACTGTAGCGTGAAAGTAAGAACTAACCAACTGGAAAATTGACAGCATTTGTAAGAAAAAATGTATTGCATCAGACTCTACTGGGGATATACCCTATGTCAGCCTTTGCAGTGCAGACATCAGATCCTAGATTACTGAACTGGAGTCACCTTCTGAACATGGTCTTTTCTGAACATGATCTCTGCTATAATGAATTTTAGAAAGATTCATAGTAAGCCATTGTCACACCACTTGACAACACATCTAGTCCCAGCTATAAAACTGTAGGTGACCTTTAGCAGTTTCCCCAGTTAAACTATCCGGTCTGCACACTCGGTGTGTCACAGTTTATCAGTGCAGATGCAGTATCACTTCTTTACTTGAGTTAGACAAGTGAAATGTTAAGTGAAATATTAATGAAAGTCTGCAGTTGGCAGACTTTCAAGAAACCTGGGACTATACAGTTTTGAGGAAATTTCAACCTGTAGCAAACTCAGACTTGCAGAATTTCTGCTCCTCGTCCCAAGGCCTACAAAAACATTCTGTTAGCCAGGTTATGGGATCACTCATCCTTTGACTGGTAAATTTAATTTGTTTTCAACTATTGGCCTCCCAGAGAAGATGAAATTTTATTTCCACATTTTAAAAGGCTTTGGGTAGATAAGGGCAAAGCTATTATGGTGAAAGTCAACATGAAGGTTAATGCTATTCATCTATCATAAAACTGTTAAATATCAGTCCATCAGTTAAAAGAAACGTTTAACAAGATTCTGTGATATAAAAAAAACATTTTGGAAGTGCTTACACAATTAAGTTAAAAGGCCATATCCAATCAAAAATAAATAAATAAAATCAAGTCCTTCAAAAAATAATTGATCTTTACCTCTCCACCAGAGCCATTTTCCTCTTTTATCTATTGAAATTCAAGGGAGTTCTTTTTTGTTGTTTTTTATTCTTTTAATCACAAGCTAAGTATGTCCAGGACAAAGAGAAGACTCATTAAAGCCACTGTAATGCAAATGACATGAATGTTTCTCAAAAAATACCGTGCTACTAGAATAATTAAATAAACACTGAGGTAGTGCAAACTCAGAAAGTCCTGTAGGATTATTCTCAAAGCTTTTTTCTTGTATGCATGCAAAATTCTGTACTTTTTGTGAGCTTTAGTGACAGTTGGATTCAGTGATCTCAAGAGTCTTCTCTAACCTGAAGGATATTCTGTGATTCTGTGTTTATAGAAGCTTTCTAAATTTGTCAAAAGTTGAAGAGGAAAGAAATAAGCTTAAGGAAGCTTTGTCAAAATATTTAGAAGTGTATGGTAAAGTGCTCAGCTATTGAATAAAAAGTCACACAGAAGATAAGTATTAAAAACTGCCTTTCAACCAGATTATTAGGAAAAACATATTTCACAGACTTAGTCTCAATGATGAATTGCATGTTCAAAGAATAGTAGTTTACATTATGTTATATATTTCCATAATTTTTGATTTTTTCTTTGTTCAGTGAAACTTTGTTGAGTTAGGAAGAGCCTCAGTATTGTGATCTTTAGGTTTATTAAGAAAAATCTCTGGCTTAAAGATTCTAAAGGTCAACTGGTCTTTCATATACATACCAACAGCAGAGAATAACAGTACTGCACACTTCTACAATGGCTACTGTTCATGACAAAATGTCTCCTTAAAAATATGTTAGTACATGAAAAATTGGGGTTTTTATTTGTGCAGATGATGTGTCGATTCCTTCTGGTTAGGAGAAAAGCCTGAAAATATGATGGCTTCTAAATGATCTAGAAAATAAAACATTTAAAGAATCTTTCTGTAATTCTAATAGTCTCAGGAATGTTAAGAACGTTGCATTTTGGCAATGCTCTCAATGTTTAGAGACAGCTGTATTTATTGTGCTGGAAGAGCAAAAGCACTCGTAAAACCAGTGAAAAAACCCAGCACCCAACTGTAAGCAAGGGTACAAAACAAAGCCAGGTTTTGTCCACTGGTTTAAACCACCTAAAGGGCTCTTTAAAATCAGTGATCCAAATTCACCTTTCCTCTCCTGCTAGAAACATACAGTAGCTCTTCATTTCAGTATCATTCCTCAGCATTTGCCCTGGCACAAGGATGTCTCCTCTAGCCTGCTCGGGGGGAAGGTGGGGGGCAAAACCCAAGGCACCTCCAACCTCAATTTCTGTGCTTTGCTGCACAGAAGCTGAGTTTGTCCCCTCCTAATTTGAAAGGACCTGCAGAAGGACATGGGAAGGCCACTGTAAGTCAGACCCGTGAGGTTCCTGCAGCTCCAGAAAACCCACCCCACAGTGTGTGACACAACACACCAAGGCTGCAGCCGCCTCCCCCAGTGGCAGATCACACCTGGTACCAAAGTAGTACATGTGTGTCTTTGGGAAAAATATGGCCTTGCCACTCCCAAGGCACACTTCTTCCTTTCCTGTATTTCTGAATTTCCTCACTGAGTACAAGCAAAAGGGGTCCCTTTCAGTGCTGTTAATAACAAAAAAGGGTGATTTACCCTCACCAGAAGTACCAGGAAGTGCACTGAACTTCTGGAGTCTTCACAGTATGTTGCACATGTATGTTGCACATTTGTGGCAAACTTGTATCTAAGAAAAGCTACTTGTTTTTATTTATTTTCCCCCACTTTAAAGGTACAAATTAAGGTTAACTCCAGTTATTTTTAACAATAGTTAAAGTTGATAAAGAGGTCTTCTTTTTTGCTGTGCAAGTACTCCCTTTAAAGTATAGCCCAACAGAATGTGAGACACTGGAACATTAAACTGCACATGCTCCATGTTTGTTTTTTTTTTTAATCCATTTTTCTTCCTCCCTTCCCAACATGTAAAAAATATTTAGAAATAAAGCAGAAAACACACTTCAATGCTCACTTAAAACAATTTCTTCCTATGCTTTTCATGAATTTCATCACCATTTTACACCTAATCTTTGATAAATGACCACATGAGATGATGATCTCTTCTTTGACCAGATGATGCAAAGCTGTCTGGTCTATCAGGCTGAGTCAAACATTATCCATTCACTTTATCATTCTTAAGTGTAATACTTTCTGCTAATACAGCTGGTTCTTTCTTGTTCAGTACCACAGAAGTAGTAGGAATTTCCCCAGCAGCACTGTCCTGTTCACTTGTTTTACTGGATACAGAAGAAGGCGGCTGAGATGGTGTCACAAGAAAAAGTGGAGTTCCTTTCAGCTTCACTACACGGTTGTTTACAGGCTTCTTAGTCCCTGCAACCCTGAATGTCATTTGGCTTGGTGTCCCACTGCCAGCACCCTGCCTTCCACAGGACACCTGGGGATTGCTGGGCAGCAGTGAGCATGTTGTGGATGTGGTTTCAGAAGCTTCTCTGTGCAGTGTCAGCCTTTCACTGTTGGGTCGTTTAAGAGTTGCTGCAGAACGTGAAGTACTGCAAGCAGCTACCTTTAGTGAAGCTGAATTCTTGACTTTGATATGGGTACTTGTTGAGGGACCTGAGAACCTGATTGGCTTGGGACCCACTTTAGATGGCAAACAGTCTTCCTCTTCAGTATAGTCAATTAGTCGTCTGTAATATAGGGAACTTTATTAAATAAATGAACTATATATGTAAGTTATTCTTTTTAGAACGTTATTACAAACCAGACAATATGTAACAGCCATCCACAAATAGGAAGTTATTTTAACTTTTGCTTGTTACAATATCATTTATGGTTCCCAACAGTTCATCCTACAATCAGGCTTGCCTTTCTATGAACACAACAACCAATCTCTTCTACCTCTGTAAGATGACATTAAAAACTGTAGCAGTGAAGTGGCTGTAGGGTGGCTCAGGTAACTGTGTAACAGAACCTGCAAAAGGCTGCTTTAAGTTGATGTGTTGAGAATGGAGGTGTAGTCAAAAGTATCACCATTAAACTGCAGAGAAGAAATTCTAGAAATTCCCTCTAAAAAGAAGGCATCTCACATACGTGAAAATCAGTTAACCTTTTAAAGTTTGCAGATAAATTTCTGTTTTAGCAGTCCATTTAACTAACACTGCTTTCTGCTTTTTGAAATTACTCCTTGCCAGGCTGCTGAGACCTCTAAAATAAAGTTAATTTGTTTCTAGCAAGTTCAGTTCTTCAATCAAGCTCTCATGATTATAAGACATTTTATAAAAATGTAAATAAAACCAGAAAACTCAACATGCATAGCTATTTAAGGAACCTGAAATTAGAGGCAAAAAAGGATTGCACTGTATTTGTGCTTAATTTAAAGCCATCTGTGTAAATCAGCATACCTTTTATAAACTGGTGGCATATGATGCAAACTGCCTTTCAGAGGGCGTTCTTCCAGAGTCCAACATTCAATCAGCTCCTGGGGCACTCTCCAGTAGCTGACACCTGCATTTATAAGCAACATTGTATTGATGAGCTGAGAAACACAGCCAGCATCACGTGTGTAGACATCTGACCAAGGGAATATATGTGTTTTATGCAGCAGAATTTCAGTTTTGAAACTGCTGCCACAAGCATTGTTTACATCCAGTGTGCTTCTTCATTCATGTCAGCTCCTGTCCCCTCCTTGGAACATCCCTTCAGACTTCTGCCCCCCCCCCCCCCAAATAGCCACTACTTTGGAATATTTTACATTACAAGTCAAAGTTTATGAAGAGTTTTTATGATAGTTAATTAGCAAATATTTTTCTTATTTTTCTGTTAAAAAGTAGTACTACTGGAATAAAAAATTAATACTCTACCTCTCCCTTCCCAGGCATCGAAAGCATCCATCATCTTTTTCAGTTCAGCAACTGAGTAATAGCTCCAGATGTACTGGACATTATTTCCAGCTTCTCTAGAAATATTGTTTTAAAGGTAATGGTTATGTGATAAATTTAGCTAAGTCCTTAAAAATGTAACACTGGTGAAATGTATCCTTCTGTTTACCAAACCTTAACTGTAAGGACTTAGCAGTAAATGTTTATAAAGTAGAAAGGAAAATGTTGCTTGAATTTCATTTTCATTTGGATGAGAGGTTCTTGTCCTCCTGTGAATACCTATTGCTAAAAATGGATATTTCGTGAAAGAACAGATGTTCATAAAATAATAATTACAGAATTAATGGTGTAAAATCTATTCTTCTAGATCTCAATCATTTATTCAAAGGGAAAATACAGTAGGAGGACAGATACCTGATATACTATGTTTCCAAAATACTCTTGGAATAAATATTAATATTTCCAGCCTAAATTTAGGAAAATATGCATCTTAATTATCATGATTATGAAACATGAAAAGCTCTCTCTTAATCAAAAGATACACAGTGAAGTGCACTTCTGACACTGTACTGTGGGACCAAGAGAAAGACAATTTGCTTCCAGTCATAAGTACAGGTCTACCAATAACTTCAAAATACTGCCATAAAAATACATGAATAGTATAGCAGAGATGAACATGTTCTTTATAGAATTAAAACCATCCTTAGTTCTTGGTGTTCAGCTGTCTTAGAAGACTGCAAAATACAATTGCATGGATCATAACTAACATTGCAAATATTTCTGGAAGTTTTTCAGGATAGGGATTCATTCACTGTATTTAGTGTAAATATTAGAAAGTAATTTTAAATTTTTGAGACATTTTAAAAACAACAACTCAAACACAATGAGAACTTACAGTAACTACATGCCAACCACCTTGTGTGGACTCTCAAATTCTTGTACTCTGTGCTTAGTTTTTATTTTGTTTGTTTGTTTAATGTTACCATTTGTATTAGCCAGTTGTTTTTGGAGCTGGAAAGAATCTGATTCCTTCCACGGATTTATAATACAATAATGCTATGTTATGGTACATGTGACAATATTAGGCATAATTATAATATGTGAGTATTTATTCTCATTTCATAGTGCTTTCATGTGTTTGACAGTCACCTTACCTTTTGTACATGCTTTTACTATGAATTTTCGTTCCTAGCACCTTATTAATTGCATCAGTCCCATCAGCTCTTGTGGCATACACACCAATAACTGTACTTTCACAGCTTGCTCCAGATGTGTTGAGATAGTGCAGGACCCACACTGTAGGCTTGGTACAAACTAAATCATAAGAATCACAGAAATCTAACAAAGCCTGGAAGAAACATAAAACAAAAAATACAGAATACTGATAAAAATATAATATCTTTAGTTGAATCATATTTAAATTTTCTTAAGTGGATCAGTGAGCTCTTTTAAGTAAATCAAGGATGTAGTTTTTCTAGAATGCTGGCTACAGTATTTCTTATCTGATGTTAACAGAGATTGTTGTGAAGCTAAGAGAAGTTTATAGAAAGGCAACAGAAATACTTAAAGGCATGGCAGCTCCTTAATATGAAGAGAAACTGAAAGGCCTGGAAATGTTTTATGCTTTTCAAAAGGAAATGAGTAAGGAAGAATGTGAAGTACATGGAAGAATAGCTTATGAAGAGAATGTAGATAACTGTCAGGACTAACACAGCCAGACCTGGTAATATAAATGAATTTCCAATCCATTAATTAGAATTAGCTTTTAAGTTTTACTCTAAAATAGACAAACATTAGGATTTTCAATAGTATAGTAATTTTCCTTTTCTCCTTCCCTGTTCTAAGAAAATGTCAAAGTACATTTTGTCTTTTGAGTTTTAGGATGCATTTATGAAACTGAAAAAAAAAAATCAAACCTCTTGAAGGGATCAAATCTAATCTCAAGTAAAATTTGAAACCAAATAGGGAACTAAACAATGTCATTCCCACTATGCAAGTTTTACAGCAGACTTGCATGTAAAACAAGAGTCAAATTTAAACTATTGCTGTATTGCAATGATGGGGAAAGCTGATGTCCTTAACTACTCTGCATTATCAAATCCAGGATTTCTTAATCTAAAATTCTGAATTTACTCATGATTCAATGTGGTGATTAAGAAGCACTAACTTGCACATACTATAGTTTTAGTATCTGGTGCTAATGAATGATGCAGATTAGAGAGTACAACTCAAAAAATATAAGAATTGTTAAGACCTTTTTAAGCTCTATATTTGACCTTGAAGAATATGTCTCCATTTCATTGGCCAAATGGTCAGACAGGCTGTATGGATAAGGGATTCCAAAATAATCTGCTTCTTCCTGCAGTGCGATTCGAATTTGTTCATCTCCAGGAATCCGAACTTCTCCGTGAAGATAATCCAAAAGATACTTAAACAGGCTTCCATCTCGATCAATTAGACATGCTCCTGAAAACATAAATAAAATTATTTAGAATACTGCTTCCAGCAAGTGAAGACAAACTTGTCACTTTCTACCAAATCATCAAGTAAAGCCTTTTGTATAAAACTTCTGTGCTAGTTTTACTTAGGAGGAGTAAGTATACTGTCTCTGTTCTTTTAAAACTATATTTTGTTTCCCTGGAATATTTGTTATTTGATGATAAAATTCTTAGTGCAGAAAACATTTCTTTGGAATTTCAGTGAGATCACTAATCTGCATAGAACAATGTCAACATACCACCTCATCTGTACTGCACTCTGCTTAAGATGTTAAAATCTAATTCTAGACACATTTCTAATTCTAACTGCAGGTACATCTTTACTCACTATTCCAGGGATCTTTTCAATTTTGGACCTAGACTATTTAAAATAGCATCAGCTCCAGTACATATCTAGTCAAACCTTCCTTGAATATTGGTCAAGTTTTACTGTATTTTTTCTCTCCTTTGCCTGCCAGGCTCAAGGACCCTACAGAAACCAACCAATCCATACAGGGCTGTGTACAACAGGCTGTTCACTGTGGCTGTGAAGGATGGTGGCTAAGTCCTGCCCATACAAATGTCAAACATTTCAGATATTTTGAGCAGTCTGAAGTGTACAACAAGGAACTACTATTCTTCAGCCATCATATCTTTAAACCAGACATACTTTGGCAGGATTTCCAAGTCACAAACAAGTGTGAAATTTGACCCATGAATAGTTTTATTCAAACTTTCATATCAAGCCATGGTGGTGAAAAATGCAATCCTTACTGGGTAATGAAGTGTTCTGAAACAAAGATTAGACCCAAATCTCCTTCTGTAATGAACAGAGATAATGAGATGCCTCTGGAGAATATAGGGGTTCACAAACAGGATCTGAGTTAAATGCCAAATACTCTGCCAACTTCAATTTATTCTATTTTCATATTCATACTGAAGAAGTATATTCTGAAGCCACAGTTTTGACTGGGATAAGGATGTATTTGGCACAGAGCTCCCTGGTCAGAATGTCGTATTTACAGCTTCAATATATTTACCTGATTCATCCACTTTTAGAGGAAAGCGTCCACTAAACATAGAAGCCAGCATTGAGTCCTTAAAGCGGCACAAAGACTCCCGCCTGGCTGTGTATAAACATCCTCGCACATTAAGTCGTAGAACACTCTGGACATCTTCAACCTTGCCCTCTGCCATTGCATTCGCCAGTGATGATGTTCATTACAAGCTGTTCAAGCCTGAAACAGATACAAACAGAAGTAAATCTAATGCCACTTTGAACATACCGCATACGAGACCTAAGCATTAGGTCAGCTCTTACATCTTACACGATACCACTTTGAAAACAGTTCTGGAGATGTATTAGTGTAAATAGCGAAATATTCCACACCTTTACTATAAAAACTGATGGTATTTTACTTTGCTAGGAAGCACAAAGGTTACTCTTTTGAGACAAATGGGGAAGCACATTTACGTGGTCAGAATGTGTGAGCAGAGCACTGGAAGGACATCCTGGGAAATCTCGTTTTGAGTACAGGTCACAGCACTACAAATGCAATAATTTTGTACTAATAACAACGCGGCTTCTTTAAAATCCGACCTCTAATTAGAGCTGTTTTCACCAGCTGGGCCGTTCGCTCCCTCCCTCCCTTCCGTGGGGCGCTGCTCCGCCATTAAGGGGAGGCGCCCGCCGTCTCTGCGGGTTCGGGTCGGCTCTGTCGGGCCGGGCGCCGCGCCTCCGCGCCAGGGCCGCCTCAGGGCCTCGGCCCCGCAAATGGCGCCGGGGGGGCCGGGCTGGGCCGAGGGGAGCGCAGGGGGGCAGCCCGTGTGCCCCTGCGGCGCCATCGCCAGCACCATCTCCGGGCGTGCCGCCGGCGCCCGAGGGTCCCTGCCCGCGGGTACGGCGGGTTCTCCGAGTGCAGGGAGCCTGGGGCTCGGCTGCCGCTGCCTCCCCGGCGCTGCCCGGAGGAACTCCCTGCGGTACGGCTGTGGTACCTGCGTCCTCCGAGGTGAGGCTGACCTGCGTACAGTCGGCTACTCTGAAAGGCACAAACCCTTCCGAAAACGTGCTTTTTTGGTTTGTTGGTTTTTTGGTTTTGTTTTTTTTTTTTTTACAAGTACGTGTTCACTCGGAGTGGGTTTGATTCAGTTGCTGGTTTTATAATCCCAATAATCATAGAATGGCCTGGGTTGGAAGGGACTTTGAAGATCATTTAGTTCCAACCCCTCCGATGTGGGCAGGGACACTTTCCACTAGACCAGGTTGCTCAAAGCCCTGTCCAGCCTGGCCTTGGATACCTCCTGGGATGATGGGGCATCCAAAGCCTCTCTGGGCAACCTGTTCCGGTGCCTCACTACCCTCACAGCAAAGAATTTTTTTCCTAATATCTAATCTAAACCTACTGTCTTCCAGCTTGAACCCATTACCCATTCTCCTGTCACTGCACGATCTCGTACACAGTCTTGCCCCATGTTTTCTGTAAGTTCCCTTCAGGTACTGGAAGGCTGCAATTAGGTCACCTCGAAGCCTTCTCCTTTCCAGGCTGAACAATCCCAGTTCTCTCAGTCTTTCCTCATAGGAGAGGTGCTCCATCCCTCTAATTAACTTGGTGGTCCTCCTCTGGACTCACTCCAGCAGATCGATGTCCTTCTTGTACTGGGGACCCCAGAGCTGGGTGCAGCACTCCAGGTGGGATCTCACCAGAGGAGAGTAGAGGGGCAGAATCCCCTCCCTTGCCCTGCTGGCCACACTGCTTTAATGCCACCCAGGACACAGTCGGCTTTCTGGGCTGCCAGAGCACATTGCTAAGTCATGTCCAGGTTCTCATCCACCAGCACACCCAGGTCCTTCTTGGCAGGGCTGCTCTCTATATGAGAGCAACTTGAGCTGTCTCCTACCCCACATGCTCCCGTTTTATTTCACAGTGTGATGGAGTCCCTCTGGCCAGCCCAGCCCAGGGCAGTGGCTTCAGACCAAGCTGGAGCCCAGTTTCTTCTGCAGCTGCACATCCCAAGTTGCAGCACCAAGACAAGCGATTTCACCAGGGTGATGTGCTGCTGGTATGTGCTCCCAGTCTGAAGATGGAAAGTTCTGCTTTTATTAAAGCAGGGGGGAAAGGCAGGAAACGGTAGCCTCAGGTCAACTGGTGTTTTCTGCCATGCTTTGACATGACTCCCTGAACAGACCAGCTCACTCCCCTGTGTGGCAGCAGCAGTCTGTTCAGTTCTACCTATTAGATATAAATGCAGCCATCAGAACTTTTAATTTTGCTTTGCCGTTGCTTACATGTAAAATATGTTTTTTCTCTGGTTTGTTTTTTGGTTGGTTTTGGGTTTGGGGGAGTTTTTTTGTTTGTTTGTTTGTTTGGGGTTTTTTGCTTCAGATTTAGATGCATTTTTCAGAGGGAACCACTTATGCACTAAAATAGCACAGATGAATGCTATTTCACTGCCATGTCTCAAGTGAAAGGACAAGAGAAAATGGCCTTAAGTTGAGGCAGAGGAGGTTCATATTAGATATTAGAAAAACAAAATTTCGCTGAAAGAGTGGTTAGGCATTGGAATAAGTAGCCCAGGTAGGTGGTGCAGTCACCACCTTTGGAAGTGTTCAAGAGGTGTCTGGATGTGGCACTTGGGGATAAAGTTTAGGGGTGATTATGGTGGTGTTATGTTGATGGTAGGTGATCTTGAAAGTTTCTTATAACCTTGATATTTCTGTGATTTTATGATTCTGTAATGTAGGCAAGGTGCCTCACTCATACAGTCATTTCACAAAGACTTTCAAAGAGTGTCCCATTGAATTGTTTATATCTGAGATAGAGTTGTGTGGTCATCAAAATGCATTCATAAACAATGGAAAGGTAAAGAAAATAGATTCTTGTTATGCTTTTGTGTCAACCTTATTATGCAAATTTCCATACATGAAAAGTAGTTCATATGTCATGCATCATAAGATGCAACTGTATTTAAAAAAAAAGTTTACAATGTTATGTCTAGTTCCCACTTAATTCTCCTTTATTTGCTTACAAAGTTTCTTTTTGCCATAACATACAGTAAGAACTTATCACTGTGGATACAACTGCCAAATAATTAGTAGTGTGCAACAGTTAACAGGGCAAAACTTTAGTTTTCTGCAGACTTTCTGGAAGATATGAGCTGATTATATGCTTAGAATATATAATATAAAATATTTTTATATATTATATATAAAATTTCTTAGATAATAAGATATAACTGAATCCCAGATATTAACAATATATTTTAATTGCTACCTGAAGTCCAATAAAAATTCACTTACTTAAGTGTACACTGCACATATAAGAAATGTGCCTTTACTGTATTTAAATAGTTTACTCAGTTATATCTGCAATTCCTATTGATTTTTGTCTTGTATCATCCTAGTTTTTAATTCATAATTTCCTTGTGGAGATATTTTGTTGCCCATTTAAGGTATTTAGAACTTCAAGCCACAGGTTCACTTGCTAAGAGGTGAAATCAAAGGATGTGTAACACAGAGCAGCTATAGTTCCAACTCTGTTGCTTGTTATATTCTGGTCTGTTACTGTTACATTTTTATTTTTGAGAATACCTAGATATTCATAGGCTGCTCTGTTTTCAGATAATATGTGAGTCCACAAACTTGTAATTCAGACTTGCCTTCAGTCAAGTGAAGAACATTAAAGGAAAGAGCCATATAAACCATATTGCATCTGGTCCTCGTAGGGAGAGAATAAATTCTCTTTGAAATTGTGTAACTCTGAATGATCACTTCTACTTAAAACTCACTTCTTTTTATCTTAATGCCAGTTTACATTAGAATGGCAGTTAAAGCCACACTAAACGCCTCACGTCTAATTTTTCTTAGCAACTAAACATGCTACTGTTGCAGCAAAGAGATAAAATGGCATGCCAAGCCCCATGGCTCTCATGTGCTCCTTGAACAGTCCTTGGCCAAGAATGTACCCAGAAGCCAAGTCTTTGATGCTTAATATCTAATTAATTAAATAAGCGCACAATTTACAACATGCTACTGAATGCAATACAGACTGATAATCCATGGGTGTTGAACTTACTATAAAACAAGTGAAAACAAGTATAATAGATTATTTTTGTAGAGTAGTGGTATCTAGTTTAACTGTGTCTTTAGTAAGGATAATAATGTGTTTCCCTTACTCACTGGGAATAGTTCATACATACCAGTTTCTACTTAAACATGGCCATTTTTATCAAACATTGCAATGTAGTTTAAGTGTAACTTCCAGTCTTTCTCACTCTGAAACATTCACTTAATGAAACTGGAGCTTTTCATGCTGCTTTCTGCCTTGAAGCTGGCTTGGTTTTGCCTCAGAAGTCTGAAAAAATGTTCCTTCATGTGTTTCTGCATTGTGAGACCGGAACAATGTACACAGTTTCACTCAATACATGTATATACACACATAATGCAATAGGTTTTGGACCTCAGATTTAACCATGTGAACTATCATGGCTATTCAAGCTTAGTACAGCATGTACTTGGCATAGAAGCTTGAAGCAAAATCAACCCACACAAGCAAACTGCCTTTTGAGCTGCACCTTTTGGGAAATGAACACGGCTGTTTTTGTTTTGGTTTTCACTAGTTTCCCAAGGAAGCCGGGCTTACACACTCATCCTCTGTATATTTGTGTTTCAATTTACTAATTGCAGTCAAATTCGACAGAGAGCAAGAGGCATTAAGAAATGGATTTTTCATTAAGCTTGTGCAAAAAGGGTGTGATTAGAGAAAGATAAGTTCTTAATCCCATAATTTCAGGAAAAGGTACAGCATGAGCTCAGGTCTTGTTGGACATCAGAGAATCCACAGAGGGAGAAGTTGTTCTACATAATCTACCCACCAGAAGTGCTTTAGTCATAGCTCACACTTTACTACACCCTACAGGATTAATTCCTCAATGAAGGTTCTTCTCAGACATGAATATGCAGGTATCTAGTAAGGTACAAATTCAAATCCCACATGATTAGAGCTTTTACAACAGGTCTGTGTGTCTTTCCCTCACTTCTTTTCATTTCTATTCAGTTTAAAGACCAGTCATAGGATCCCTGATGGATGACTGAAACACAAAATTCTGCTCTTAATACACATTTAAGATATATAGACTGTGAAACTTGGCAGTGGTTTAAGTTCTTCCCAACTTTGAGCAGCTGGCAATTAACTGGAGATTTTTACATGTGAAGGGGCATAGTGTGGAAGTTCCTCAG